TGACTAGGAAAAAAAATAATTAAAAAGTAGTCCATTATATCAACAGGCTAAAGAAGAAAAATCATTCGATCATATCAATATTCAAAAAAAGTATTTGACAAAATACCACATATATTCATGATTTAAAACAACAATAACAACAACAACTCTCAGTACTAGGAATAGAGGGAAACTTCCTCAACTTGATAAAGAATATCTATAAAAGTCTTAGAGATTGCATCATATTAGATTGTATCATATTAGCATCATATTAGATTGCATCAAATATGCCCCTTCTCACCACTGCTTTTCAACCTTGTACTAGGAGTCCAAGAAGATGAAATAAGATGTTAATAAGAAATAAAATGTACACAGAATAAAGGAAAAAATAAAACTGCCTTCGATTGTTAATGTAGAAAGCTGAAAGAATCAACCAAAATATCACCTGGAACTAATAAGTGATTGTAACAAGGTTGCAGTAGACACAGTTAATATACAAAAACCAATCACTCTCCTCTACCCCAGCAATGAACAAGTGGAATTTGAAATAAAAAAACCACCCCAAAATACCATTTATATTAGCATTTCCCAAGGTAAAATAGGTATATATCTAACACAATATGTACAAGATTTTTATGAGGAAAATGCAAAACTGATGATGGGAAATCAAAGAGGCACTTGTAGGTTAGACTTAAAGCTATTGCTTCCTGTTCCTTGACTTCTCTGCAGATTCCTGGGAATCTCTGCAATCCCTCCAACATGTCTTGGTCTATATTTGGGAAAGCTGCAGAAGCTGTTAAGCACCCCAAGACCAAGCCATTCATGAGAAGCTATTTTTTTCTATAGCAGCTACAAACAAGTAACTTCAGGCAACTTAAGTGCAGAAAGATCTGGGATGTTGGATCTGAAAGGCAAGGCCAAGTAGGAATGAGCTGAAAGGGACTTCCAAGAAAAATGCCATGGAATCTATTTCAACAATATAGAAGAGCTAAAGAAAAAATATGGAAGATAAGAGATTAGATTGGCCTGCATATCACACATTTATGATATGACTGATGTGATTTTTTTCTTCTAATACTGTGCATGATGTGAAATACTGAAGATAACCCATTATTCAGTTTATCAAGGCTTTTCAGGGTACAGCTTTAACTAAATAAGGGCTGAAATAACTGTCTCCAACTAGCTTTTATCTGAGATAAATTAAAAATATATTTGTTACTTAAAAAAAAGAAAGAAATCAAAACAAGAATTAAGTGGAGAGATATTCTATGTTCATAGATTCAATATTGTCAAGATGTCAGATGCTCTCCATTTATCTATGGATTCAATAAAATCCCAATCAAAATCCCAGCAGGTTATGTTGTGGACATTGGCAACCTGATTCAAAAGTTTATTAGGAGAGGCAAAAGACCCAGAAATCCAACACAGTATTGAAGAAAAAGAACAAATTTAGAAGACTGACATTCAGTTTGATTTCAAGATTTACTGGAAAGCTACAGTAATCGAGATAGTATAATATTGGTTAAAGAAAAGAAAAATGAATCAATTGAACAGAATAGAGAGCCCAACTATAGATCTATGTAAATGTAGTCGACCCATCTTTGACAAAAGAGTAAAGGCTATGTTGGGTGCAGTTGCTCATGCCTATCATCCCAGCGACCCTGGAGGCTGAGGCAAGAGGCATTTTGAGTTCAAAGTCAGCCTCAGCAATTAGCAAGACCCTAAGCAACTTAGTGAGAACATGTCTAAAAATAAAAAAATAAAAAGAGCTGGGATGTGGCTCAGTGATTAAGCACTCCTGGGTCAATCCCTGGTACCAAAAAAAAAAAAAAAAAAAAAAAGAACAACAGATGTGCTGGAACAACTGGATATCCACATGAAAAAAATTAATTTAGACACAAACTTTACACTTTTTACAAAAATGAACTCGAAATGGGTCACAGGACTAAATATACAATGCAACACTATAAAAACCTTAGAAAATAACATAGAAGAAAACCTAGATGACCTTGGATGTATTTGGAAATGACTTTTTAGATGCAACTGCAAAGGCACAATGAAAGAAAAGATTGATAAAATTTCAAAATATTTGCTCTGCAAAAGACATCGCCAAGAGAGTGGAAAAGACAAGCCACAAACTGGGAGAAAATATTTGCAAAAGACATATCTGATAAAGGACTGTTTTCCAAGAGACACAAAAAACTCTTAAAGCTCAACAGTAAGACAATAAACAACTGAATCAAAAAATGAGCAAAGACCTTAATAGACATTACACCAAAAAAGATTTACAGATAGCAAATGTCTATAGCAGATGTCTATTTTAAAAATTTCTTCATGTGGTGTCAGAGTCAATATTGCAACTTTTAAAAAATTACCACTTCTTGAGTTTTAGTGTAGTATTAAAGAAAAATAGACACATTTCTTTTTTCTTTCTTTCTTTTTTATTTTTAGTGCTGAGGATTGAATATATGGCCTCAGACATTTGAAGCAAGAGTTCTACCACTGAGTTACATCCTCATTTCCATCCACAATTATCTTGAAAGGCTACTAAAGTACTAGTCCCTTTTCCAACTACTTATTTGTGTTAAGTCTAGATTCTTTTTCATAAACTTTTGCCAAGACAATATGCTGTAACAGATTCAATGTAGAAGCAGATATAATAAGAGAATCCAACTAAAGCCCCAAATTCCTCCCCCACCCAGCCTGCTGCCTCTAACATCTTCTGCCTTCTCTCTCCTTCTTTCCTCCTTAACCTTGCCACTTATAAAAAGTTCAAAGGACTTGATTGCAGGCAACAGAGTCACCTTTGTCAGGGCTGAATCCTGGAGCGTTGGGTGGAGAGTGTGAATGGTGGAGGGAGAGAAGGTTGGAGAAAGTTAGTGCAAAAGACCAGACATCTCCTGCCCCCATACTAAAGTGAGTCTTTAAAGGAGAATGAGTTGAGATGGAGAAACTGTACAAAATATATATAGGTGTAGTGAGCATGGGATCAAGACTCTCTTCTTCCAATGTGTGTCTACTTTCTTCCCATTTGAGCTCCCCCATATCAGTACAAATGCAACTGTTTTCAAATATATTTTTTTAAATGTCTTTTAAAACTGATGCATAAAAGCAAAAATTTTACATAGTAAATGGGGTACCATGTATATATTATGCAATGTTCAAATCAGGCTAAGCATCTTTATTTGCTTTAATATTTCTTCATGGTGAAAATATTCAGAATTCTTTCATGTAGATTTTTGAGATATACAGTATATCATCTTAATCTATAGTCACCCTATTATGCAACAGCACACCCGAACTTCTTGCTTCTATATAACTATAACTGAGTACCCATCAGTCAACTTTTCCCAATCTCATCCTCCTGGTTACTCTCTCTGTCCTCTGGGAACCACCAGTTATCTCTTCTATAAGATCAACTGTTCTAGTTTCCGCATATGAATAAGATCATGTGGTACTTGCCTTTCTGTACCTGCCTTATTTCAATTAACATAATGATCTCTGGTTCTGTCCATGCTGTTGCAAAGGATAGGATCTCACCCCTTTTACATTCTCTGCATCTATTCATCACTTGATAGATGCTTAGTTTGTTTCCATTTCTTGGTTACTGTGAACATTACTGCCATAAACATGGGAGGGGGTGCAGATGTTTCTTTGAAACACTGTTCTCATTAGTGGGATTGCTGAATCATATGGTAGCTCATTATTTAATTTTTTTGATTTCCCTAAGGGCTGTATTAATTTACATTCCCATCAACAACGTGCAAGTGTTCCCTTTTCTGCATCCTTCGCACATGGACTTCCTCCCCTTTAACATCTGGAAGGGAAGCTGGACCAGAGTGGACTAGGCATGCAGTCTATTGTTTCTCCTCCACCCCACCCCTTTTTTCACTTCCTGCCTCTACACTTTCCAGAACTGTTGGTGTCTGTACCATTGCACCCCCACACAAGGCTTAGAGGAACTCATTCTTTGCTCTTGTTCAATCCTAGCCTGAGTTTCCAGCATGTGCGCTTCCTCTGGGACCTCAGCTATCAAGCTCCCCAGCTATGGCTCTGTTTCCTCACTCTACTCAGAAGCAAAAATGAGGGTGACAGAGACTAGGATTTCTTGGCAAGATTAAAGGAAGGGGAAGGAACCATGAAAGGAGCAAACATTTATTGAGCATTAAATCTCTGATGGGAATTGTGTCAGACACTTACCTTACATAGCCATTTGACTCTCACAAGCACCTTAAGAGGCATTTTGGATGGTAAATATTATTACAAAAATGATTTTAACCTAATGGATCCCTGACAAGACTCCAGGGATCTGAAGGAGTCCATGGTCCACACATGAAGAATGCTTGCTGTAAAAATAACTAATATTTTATAGTGATCTTGTATCTAACCACATTGACAAATTCTCTTGTTAATTCTAGCAGGTTTTTTTAAAAATTTAATTTCTTGCATTTTTAAGGTGTCAATATAATAACATCAAGTGTAGATAAAATTAAGAAATTTCTCCTTACCATTTTACTTTGTATCTTCTCGCATGTATTCTATTTTCTAACTAATAAGTTGTATATTTAAAATGAGTTAAAATTTACCTAACCCATTAGTGAGGAAGTTAAAGATAGTTACTCACAGGAGAGATGGAAATATTGATAGTAATTGAAAAAAAATTACTGGAATCAGATTGTTTAATTAAGTACAAAACTTACTTGCCCTAAGTGACAATAAAACTATAATATTTGGATTATCTTTTTGATCAGACAGAATTTTTTGGCAGTCTATATGTGGCAATTTTATTTAAAAATCATGCTTTTATGTGGTATTTTTATTTTTTATTTATTTATTTTATTTTTTTAATTACATGACAGCAGAATGCATTACAATTCTTATTACACACATATAGAGCACAATTTTTCATATCTTTGTATATAAAGTATGTTCATGCCAATTCATGTCTTTATATGTGTACTTTTTTTTGCATTACAATTCTTATTATACATATATACCACAATTTTTATATCTCTGTTTTTTATAAATAGGTTGACACCCAATTCATGTCTTCATACATGTATGATCAGACAGAATTCATTTGCATTGTTATTGGATAAGAATAATTTCTCTTGTTATCAGCTTTTTTATAGATTATTAAAATATACTAAATCTATATAAAGTAGTAAGTAAAAAAAATATAATTCTTTTTTTAAAAATTTTTTTCATTGTCAATAGGCCTTTATTTTATTTATTTTGATGCAGTGGTGAGAATCAAACCCAGTGCCTCACACATGCTAGGCAAGAGCTTCACTACTGAGCCACAACCCCAGCTGGAAAGAGAGAATTCTTGAGTGAGTCTTTTAGACTTTAGTTGTTTTTAAAAATTATTCTAGTATAGTAATTAAAGATATGAATTTATTGTCTTGCCTATTTCTGTTTTAGACTTTTTTTCCCTAAAAGTCCCCCTTTTAATCATACATAATCTGAAAACATTATTCTTGATCACTAAGAATGGCTGTAATTTGCCAGGCACAGTGGTGCACCCCTGTAATCCCAGCAGCTCAGGAGGCTGAGGCAGGAGGATTACAAATTCAAAGCCAGCCTCAGCAACAGTGAGGTGCTAAGAAACTCAGTGAGACCCTGTCTCTAAATAAAATACAAAATTGGGCTGGGGATGTGGCTTAGTCGCCAAGTGCCCCTGAGTTCAATCCATAGTACAAAAAAAAAAAAAAAAAGGCTGTAATTTGTTCTGAAACATTGATTCATCTATATAGATGCAGCATGAAGTAGTAATGAATGCATATAAGTCTGTAGTTTTATCAGAAAATCTAAGCTAAGTGGTGTCATACAACAACCAGGGCCTAAGTAGGTTTGTGGGCATTGGCTCTGCACAGAAAATGCAATTCTTAATCCTTCATAGTGGGTTTATCACACCAGATCAAGTAAAAATCATTCTCTCAAATGTGATGCTATAAGCATGATCTTGATTATACAATTAATTTATCCAAAGTGAATGCTTTAATTTTTATAAAGTCCAATTATTTTTTTATGGATTATGCTTTTGGTATCATATCAAATAAATCCTTGCTTAATCTGAGGTCACAAAAAAGTTTTCCTTTCTTTCAGAAGTGGCTAGTTGTTTTTCTTGAGGCCTAGGGCCATTTTGGATGACTCTTGTAGATGGTCTCTGTTTCTGAGAAATTGGACTTTCAAAAATAGCAGTAGCTAGATCAGTCCTGGGAAGTGGGGTACTGCTGCTGGGCCCATAGTAGCCCCTCTGTTCATGTGCCCATCCTGACAGTTCTGAGCTGGCCAATGAAGAAGGCTGGCTAACAACTGGTTGAGGCATTTTTGTCTACATTTTGTTAGTCCCTCTTCCTTGATGTCGCTTTCTGGTGACCACTGGTCCATCATAAGCTTTGTGTACTCTAATATATTCTTCTATATCCCTTGTCCTCAGATTTCCTTGTCTCTGGTTTTCAAGTCCTTCCCATCCAGACCCCCAACCAGACAGCAGGCTTTTAGCAACTACCAAGGATTTCTATATATCCTTACTCCAGGCCACTTCTTACACACAAAGTGAATAGCCTAATGCACAGCTGATAGCTCTGCCCACTGGGAAGGTTTTCCTTCTCTACTATTTTGCAGAATCTCCCCTTAATGTGGCTGTAATACAGCTACCATCCCTTTTTTAAAAATATTTATTTTTTAGTTATAGGTAGACACATATTTTATGTGGTGCTGAGGATCAAACCCAGTGCCTCATGTGTGCTAGGCGAGCACTCTACCTCTGAGCCACAATCCCAGCCCCAACCATCCCTTTTTAACTTGAACTCAAGTGTCAAGCTGACCCATCCATAGGCCAAACTTGAGTCCTCCTGCTCCTCACCAACTTCAAACGAGGGAAGGGGAACTGGTTCAAATGTGGTAGTGATATGGCGATGTGGACTACTTGCTCATGTAGTTCATTTGTGTCCTTTGATCTGGTGCTGCTTAGGCTCAACTCCATTTCTGTCTGACAATGGACTATAGCTGGACTTGTCCAACTTTGTGACCTGCTGGGCCTGACAGAACCCAGCTTATAATGGGAAGTTTCAGATACAGGGTCATGTGGTGTCCTGTGGTCAAGCATTCCATCTCTTCCAGGTCTCAGTAACATGTCAAGAGATATTTCTTAAGGAGCATATAATTCTCTGCTGAGGTGGGATAACCTCACTTCAGAATCCCAGAAGTTTGAGTTGTGATATTTCTAATGGAGAATGCCATAAGCTCCATTTTACACATGACCTGTCCCAAACCTAGAGTCTGTGGCTCAAGTAGCGAGGCTGAATGCATTGCATCTTGACTTGCTGCGGTGTCTGTTCTAGCTCCGGATCCCATACATCGATGGCAGCCTTCAGTGTCACCTGTGTATTAACCACAGTGTATTCCTAGTTGCCTCCAGAACCCAGAAAAACCTACCAGGCACTGTACTTTCTTCTTTGTGATGGAGGAAAATACAAAGAGCAGCAATTTTTCTTTTACTTTAGATGGGGATATTTAACTGAAGTGGTTAGTCCCTGGGTGTTTGTAGGGTTTATCCCTCTCCACTCTCTGTAGTTCATGTGCTTTACAGAAGCTTCCAGTACAACAGACACATCTTGTCCTCCTGTCCAATTAGCATGATGACATAGATCAGTGTAGTGTCTGTAGAATGTCCAGAAAAATCCAGATCTCTTTGGACTATGCTAGAATATAAAATGGGAGAATTAAGTAGCCCTGAGGCAAAATTCTAAGTTAATATTTTCTATGTCATGTGAATGAGAACTGAGTCAGATCTTTTTTTCTTTCTTTCTTTTTTAGTACTGGAGATGAGATCCAGGGGTGCTTGACCACTGAGCCGTATCCCTAGCCCTTTTTTATTTTTTATTTTGAGACACGATCTCACTAAATTGCTTAGGGCCTTGCTAAATTGCTGAGGCTGGCTTTGAAGGGGCATATCATCTTCCTGCCTCAGTCTCCTGAGCCATGGGATTACAGGCATGTGCTACCACAACTGATTTTGCTAATACTCTTTCCTATTACAATGGAAATTAAAGCATTCTTCAAGCCAATGATTATATGCAATAAAACTGAAGTTTCATAAATCTGCTTTCATAAATCTTATCACATTCAGCAACACAGCTGAAATGAGAACTACTACTTGATTAAACCTGCTTCACACTGTGGGATGAAGAGCCAAGTGATAGCCATCAGAAACACCAAGAAGCCGGGCACTGTGGTGCATGCCACAGTGTAAACCCCGTGGCTCGAGAGGCTGAGGCATGAGGATAGTGGCTTTAAAGCCAGCCTCAGCAACTTAGTGAGGTCATAAAGCAACTCTGCAAGACCCCATCTCTAAATAAAATTTTAAAAAGGGCTGGGGATGTGGCTCACTGGTTAAGCACCACTTGGTTCAATCCCTGGTACCAAAAAAAAAAAAAAAAGAAAGAAAGAAAGAAAAAAAGAAACACCAAGACATTAAGCCCCAAAACAAAACTATGTAATTGGAGGAATCTGAAAAGTATTAGGGCTCAGAAAAATGCAGGATTGGTTGATTTCTGTCACACCACCAATTAAGTTGTCTGGTCATTGCAAAAATTGAATGTATCTTAGAGAATGACTATGAACATTATAAAACTTAATTAAGTTGTCATACAGTTATAAATAAGATTCAAGATATAGTCTTTACTGAAGCAATTCAACACATTCACTGACACTGATATGCAACTATTCACTTAGCAAATGCTTTCTTTTAAATTCCTATCTACAAAGATAATCAGAAACAATTTACTTTCATGAACAAGGACAGCAGAACACCTTCACTATTTTATATACATCAACTTTACTATTCTGTACCATAATGTATGGCACAGTCAACTCTATTGTTCTCTATCATGATATAATCTGGAGGGCACATGGGATTTTTATCACCTTAATGTTGCACAAAATTGCATAATAATATATTATGTTTGCTAACTTTCTGCTACATCTCCTATTATGTTGCCTGTTTGGCCATTATGAAAATCAGATGGATCTTAGAAAATGACTGTACACATTATAAAACTTAAGTTGTCACAGAGTTGTAAATAACGCTCCAGATGTATTAGCTTTTCTGGGGCACATAATAAGCACCCTCTAATGTCTTTGTAAGTCACATTCATTCTAGAGGAGGGGAGATAAATCCAGAAAATACTCCAGTGGTGTAAGGTATGTCAGGATATACTTCAAAGTTAGAGGCAAGTTGCCATACCTTGCTTTATCATTAGGAGGGCAGAACAATATGCTTTGAATATCTTTGACTTTTGGAAAAATGTATAGCAATCTAAGTTTGTTGCTTCAACATAAGGTTTTCAATTTGATAATGGGCCTAGGGCAGGAAAAGTCTCTGTATTAGATCCAAGCTGCAAGGTACAATTTTTAAAAAACACTATTTAGACTTTAAAACTGTTCATACTCAGTGGTATTGGAAATATCTATGACAAGTTGAGCATTGAGCCTCTGACAAATTTAAGTATGAGATTCACATTGCAGATAGTGGAACTTTGGAATTAGGTCCTACTCTCTTTTATTGACAACTATTCTTCATTTGAAAATTAGTTCCTGAGCTTGTTCCTAGGGTTTGAAAGAGATCCAATGCCTAGCTATAAAATTTTAACTGACTATACAGCCCCAAAATGCCCACTCTGATCTAGGCTTTAGCTAATAATTAAAACAAAAGAATTGGGCGTGTGTTGCAATCACCTTTAAAATGGAAATATTTCATACATATAGGCAATCCAGCAGGTGCTGTTGCATTGGTAGGTGGCTCATATTTCTAGGACCTCTAGGGAGTTCTATCTAATCAGTTAGGAGAAGAATATGAAGCACAGTCCTGATTTAACGATGGCTGTTCAAACTGTGCTAACAACTATATACAAGTGGAGGGCAGCTGCAGTACAGCCTTACTTAGGGATGCCCTAGAAAACAATGGTGATAGGACGTCCTCTCAATAGGAAGATCTTCACATGGCATATTTGTTTGTCCATTTGGGGTAGAAGGCTATGTGGCTTGAAATATGGATCTAAGTTGATTCATAGGCAGCAGTTTAGTGAGTTCACTAGCTGGTGAAGGAACAGCCTCGAGAAGAATAATATTGAAAAATTGTTGGCAAGTTGTCTTGGGGGAGAGATAAATGGCTCTCCCACATCTCAATATGAACATAAAGAGTGAAGATATTTGTATCCCATGAATATGCCCACAAAGCTCTGTGTCAGGTAAGACAATAATCAGTTGGATCAGATGACCTCATTTCTGAGTGTCAATCTACTTTATCCAACCACTGTGGTGCTGGTCCCATGTGGAGAGTTACCATGGCAGCAGGGACAGAGGCTACATATTAGCTCAAAACACAGATTTTCTTCTCCAAGATTGACATAGCTAATTCTGCAGCTGAGTGTCCAACCTACCCAAGATTGAGAACAACACTGAATCCCTGTTATGGCATCATTACTCAGCCATTTGCCTATGGTGGTAACTACATTGGAACTCATCCATCTAGAAGGAAGCAGCAATTTGTCCTCAGAGGAATAAGTATATATTTTGTTTTCAGTCTATGATCACTTACCCTGTTGTCTTTGGGTCTATGATAGTTCATCATGGTAGGAATCTGTAGAGGAGGAAGCTACTCATCTCTTGCTGGCTGAGAAGCAAAGAGAGATGAAAAAGAGAGTCTTAATATCCCCTTCAAGGGCCTGACTCCAATGACCTAACTTCCTTCCACTAGGCCACACCTCCTGAAGGTTCCACCACTTTCTGATATAGTGCCATGGGCTTGGGACCAAGCTTTCAACATATGGGCCTTTGGGGGCCATGCAAGATCCAGACTATAAGACTTCTGGGTATCTCCCTTATGAGTCTTATGGTCTTGTATAAGTCATACAATGACTTGGAGACTTCTTTGTCCATCATCTAAAATGCCTCCCAAGATATTTGTGGAAATCAAATGGTTATGTAAGGCAAGTGATTGGCATAATCTCCATCAAAGATTGGATACCAATAAAAATGTGCTTGTTTTCCCAATTTATCCCCTCCTATTGTGGCCAGGAAATCCTAGCCTTCATCACTGTCTCTCCACCTTCCCCCCAAGGTCTTGAGTCTTTGGTTGATTTTTACTTCTGTGTAGAGGAAAGGTTAGAGGTGGGCCAGCCTGATGGTTAGACCTCCTGATGATGCTGGGTCAGATGTTCAGATCCTAAGAGCCTGGGTCTGTCTGCACTATGTAAGAGAAGGGAAATGGGTTCTCCTGAACCCGGGAGACATTATCTAATGATTCTGGGAACTTCAGAGGCAGAAAGTAAGAAAGAATATGACAGAGAAAAAAATAATAGACTGTACCTATGATCCCTTCTGGACCACCTTTCTCTATAATGACAAAAATGAGGAAGACAGGACAGGGGTGGGGAAGGCTGAAAGGGGGAGAAAGAGATACCCTGGAGGAAGACAGCAAGCAGGGCTCATCTCTCACTACCACCTACACACATCCTCAATCTGAGTTCCAGTTCCCTTTCTATTTACTGTCCATAGTCAGGGACTAGAAGATCTTGATCAGAATTCTGGGTCCTTACGCACAAAGACAGGAAGGATCCAGCCCCACCTATTGCCCTCCTTTTAGAATTTCCTGACATTGGTACCTGTGCTGCCTGAGAAAACCTGCAATTATATTCCCCAGATTTATGCAGATAAGTGAGCTGGGGAGGCAGAAAGGATATTGGGGCAAGTAGGAGGAGGGTGACTGTGTTTCAGATGGAAATAAATGGGAGTACAGATCGCAGAATGGGAATTATTCTTTAGAGGAGACTGAGGCTCCGTTCTCTCTACCGGCTTCCAGATTGGACTGAACAGGCCCAAACCAGCACAATCCCAGTCTCCACCTTAGTTTGAGCCTCCACTTCAGCTTCGAGTTCAGGCCCAGCCTGAAACCAAACCCTCACCCAAACATAAACCCCAACCTCAGCTCTAAATTTGTCTCTAAAGTCAACCTCATTTCAACTGCAACTCCAACCTAATCCCACCCCAGCCTCCGCCTCAGTGGAGGGTCTATTTTCAACCTTAGTCCCTAGTCCAACCCAACATGAGCACCTCCACAATTTCAGCCTGAGACCTAATCTCATTTTCAGACCCAAACACCAGACCTACTTCTATGCCCATCCTAGTTCAGACATCAACCCCCAACTCCATCCAACCCAAGGAGTCCTAACATCTGCCCCAGCCCAGCCCCTCTCTGCCTTCATCTCATGTCCCCAAACCTTAGAGATCAGTGGAGTTTAAGGCTATTGATGTATGAAAATCTCAAGTGCTTATAAAGTGAGAATAAACAAGGGTTTAGAAAAGGTAAGAAGACAGGCACAAACCCCAGAGATAGTCCCTTCTCACAGTTTGAAAGAATCTGAGCTAGTTCCTCTGCAGCCTACTCCCACTACCCTCTGCTCCCCTGGTGCAGTCCTGTATCTCCAGGAACATGGGGCATATGTGAGGATGCCCCCAGCACAGTCCATACCCTCTATTCTCTTCCAAACTACTACCTGTGCCCTGGGCCCTGGGGGTACACATACCAGCTATATGGGTTGCTATATAGAGGACAGACCCAGGAAGAGGAGGTACTCAGGCCCCTAATACAGGCTCAGGGGCATTCTGGGGTGGAATATCTGGGCTCCCAGGTACCCAGAGGGTGGTCTAGAAGGGTAGGTATGACTTGGGGTGAGCATACCCTATGGCCTTGCAGATTCCTGACCCCACAGGAAGGTATAGTCAGAGGAAGGCAATTTAGAACAATGTAGGACCTCCCTGGCTTTCAGAGTATTGCTTTTCTTATGAGTTTTGTTGACTTCTTTTGTTATAGTTTATGTTTATACCCACCTCCAATTTGAGGCTGTGACTATGGACAATTATCACTAATGCCAGAGTGGTGGGGCAGAATCATGGTGGTTAGGTGAGAATACAGTAAGCATAAATAAGGGTTTAGAAAAGGTAAGAATAATTTGACACTGATATGTTTCAAAATGTCATTTTGAAACATATCCTCCACCTTAGAATAAGAATTCCTCAAGATCTCTCTAACTTAGCTTGACCTAAACTCCAGACGACCCTCCATCATCATAAGAAAGGAAATTGTTCTCTGGGACTAAAATCCTTAAAAACACCTGCTTTCTTATGAAGGTAACACCATAAGGACCCCTCTGTGACAATCCCCTGCCAATGACCTAGATGCAAAAACTCCCCCTTTCCTCACTCCTCTATATCTACCCCAGGCTATAAGCCGAGGATGGGTCTTAGCCTAGCCCAGGCCACCTCTGCAGGTTTGTCCTGAATAAATCTGTGTTCTCCTCTCTATTTATTTTCTTCATTTGATTCTTTCCTTGCACATGGTGACACAGGTCTGGTGATGGGGAGAGAGAGGCCCTACTTACTGTTCCAGATGTGATCTACTGTAGGTTTGTCACTTAAGGTCTTTTTGCACTGCTTGGATTTTCTACCTGCATCACTTGTATTTAAAAAAAATTCTTTTTGTAGTTGTAGATAGACAGAATGTCTTTATTTTATTTGTTTATTTTTATGTGGTGCTAAGGATCGAACCCAGTGCCTAATACATGCTAGGCAAATGCTCTACTACTGAGCTACAGCTCTAGTCCATAACTTATATTTTTTAAAAAATTAAAAACAAATAAGTGGCACTGAACAAGATCAATTAATGAATTTCCATCAATTCACACAAATTCTCCAAGCTTGGAATTAATTAATGAGTCAAGATCATGCTGTAGTTGTCATCCCAACAGCAAAGACAAAAATGATTCCAGGCCAGTCAGGGTGAGGACTGGGATGTAGCAGATCACAGATACCAGAAAAGGGAGGTTACCCCAGATCTGAAAAGCTGCAATATTTGGAGGTGCACTGAGTTATATTAGAATGTACAATTGGGACAGGTTTCAAAGAGTAAGACTTGGTAATCTAGTTGGGACCTGAACTGGAAGCAAGCTCAAGCAAGCTGGTGCAGTTGATGCAGATTGAACAAAAAAGAGAGATTCAAAAGCTACATTTTCAGCTAGGTATAATGGTGTATACCTGTATTCCTAGCGACTAGGGAGGCCAAAGCAGGAGGATCCTAATAACTTCAGGGCCCACCTGGGAAATTTAGCAAGGCCCTAAACAACTTAGTCAGATCCGTTTCAAAATAAAAAATAAAAGGGGCTGAGGGTGGAGATTAGTAGTAAGGAGCCCCTGGGTTCAATCCCTAGTACCAAAACTAAAAATATAAAATAAAAAAAGCTCTGTTTTCACAAATTAAAACAGCAACAACAAAGCCCCTGCATTTTGACCAATGCAATTCTACATTATGTACAACCAGAAGAATGAGCACAAAACTATACTCCATATACATATGTCAAAATACATTTTACTATCATGTAAAACTGATAAGAACAAATTTTTAAAAAGTTAAAAAAAAGCAACCCTGCATTTTCTTCTGTCTGGAAAAAACTACAAGTTTAAAAGAAGACTGTTCTTTAATTTTAGGAAACTTCTCATGCTGGCTCTTTAATGTTGCAAATGAACCCTTCAAACTCATGCAAAACCTTCTGAAAAGGGACTTTCTTTGGTTAGAAGGAGATTAAACTGATCTAAGGTAATCACAGATCACCCTGTTTGGTGAACATGAAGTTGCTTCTAAAGACCAGGAGATTAGGTAAAGAGGAGAAGAGACCCTGGAAGGTATGGTATGACATTGGTTTCTACATTACAAGGACTCTTTTGTTATAAACTATAGAAAATTTCTAGATATAGGTAATGCAAGAGACCATTTATGATACAAGGGTGTCTCATACAACCCATTAAAGGTTGAATGGTATCTTCTTAAAGATATGATGATTTTTCTAGCCCCCTTATCTCAGAACGTGACCTACTTGGAAATAGAGTCATTGCATATGTAATCATTGAAGATGATGTCATGCTGAGCAGGATGTGCCCTTTACCCAAAATGCCTGGTGTCCTTCTAAGAAGAGACACAGACACACAGGGAAGAAGACCATACCAGGACAGAAGCAAAGGTTGCAGTGTTGTCTTTGGGAGTCAAGGATTGGTGGCAAACCACTAGAAGCCAGGAGGAGCCAACACAGGATTTTCTCTGAAGTTTTCAGCAAAAGCATAGTCCTACCCACACCTTGAGTTCCTCCAGCACCATGGGACAATATGCTTTTGTTGATTTTTTAGTATCACCATCTATCCTAGCTGGCGACCTAATGATGGGTTCACAAAATTTGACTATTCCAATAACTTAAGAAAATGACAAAGAAAGCACGCAACACACAGAAATACCTTTTCAAAATCTGTGACAGCTCTCCGACCTTAAGGGTCCGTGGAAAGAGAAAGAGAGAGCCACTGGAATTCTTTATTCTTATATAGGGGACACATAAGGGGAGGTTCCATGGAACATTCTAGCCCCAAAATGGCAAAGGGGTAGGATTACAAGGGAACAGGTGAGTGTAACTCAACCCCAGCGGGTGACGCTTATACCTGGAGCCATGCCTTGTTATCCGAGCTAGAGAAACACCCAAGTTACTTCGTCCTGGCACTGCCCTGCCAGACTGGATGCAAGAATTGTTCAGAACCCGGCATATCAGAACTTAAAGGCGTCTGCATCCAGGGCAG